ATAAAATATATTATATATTATTATAATATATTTTTTTAATATAATTATATATTAATATATTAAATTAAATATATTATTATAATATATTTATAATATAATTATATATAAAATATATTATATATTTTTTTCCTTTAATATATATATATATATATTTAACAGGGCACTCAAGTTTTTTGCAAGTGTCTCAATTTTAGTATCAGAAGAAACACAAGATTGGCTCGTATAACTTCGTCAATTTTCTTCAATTTTTATTTTAACGACCGGTTTGTCTTCCGGGAGAGGCTCATTCGGTCACGATTGTTTCCACGCATACCTCGCTCGCCTGATCGCAAGAGGAAGGCACTTTGGCGGAGAGTTCCCTCGGGAGGTCCTCGGTGCTCGCGACGTCGGCCGCGCTTCCGGAATCGTCGTCCGCGTCACCACGCGCGGAACCGGGGGTGACGACGCTTCCCTCGCCGTCGTCGCCGTCCTTCTCCCTCGTCCGCTGCTCGTGCTTCGAGAGCAGCTCGCGCTGCTTCTGGAAGAACTCGGGCTCGCTGAAGCACTTCTCGAGGCTGACGGCGCGCTGGAGGGCCGTCGGCGAGCTCGGGGTCGAGCGCGAGAATTCGAGCTCGTCCCGTAGCAGGTTCTCCGCGCTCTTGTTGCATATTCGCGGCGGGTCCTGGTCGCGGAACGTCCGGCGTTGGCCCTTCGATACCTCGCACATCGCGACGCTAACCAGAGAATGCTCGTCGCCGGGAGAAAGCCGCGCGGCGCACGTCCAGCGACATTTCACGCGAACATTTCTCGGACCAGCGGCTGAAAGAATTCCAATAATTGTTATGGATCAACGAGGAGATTCGCGTGGCGAAAGGATATTTTAAAATAGATAAGGGCGCTTCTCGAAGCTTTCATATCGCCATCGAGATACCTGATTTTATTTCATAAATGATCACCTGGGCTGATTTTTACACCACAATTAATAGTCACTGTTATCAATTACATATTGCATATTTTTGATTGTTCTATAATTTATTAGTATTCGAGGACAATGTGTATATAAATTTACTCAACATGTTTCCTGAAAAAAGTAAGAAGACACCAAAAAATATTTTAAAACGATATAGAAGCACACGTTGAAATTACTGTGACGTCAGCTTTATTTTTTCGATACTGGGGTGTAAAAATCACCTCGGGCGTGAAGCTTCGAATTATCTCGGAGTTTTGTTTTGTCGCTCCTTTCCACACGAGCATCATCGACGAGATACATCGACGTTAATTTAGAAGACGCACAGCGTTAGCTTGTCCTCGATTCGAAAACAAATCCACTTTCCTAACGGCGAATTGTCCGGCGATAATAAATCGAGCCATATGCCGGTAGCTAAATATACCTCAGGGGTGTGAATACCACTCGATATCTCGTCGATCGCACCCGTTCGCGGCGCGTGGGAACTTACGGCATCCCCGAAAGAAGGGACGCCTGGGGACGCGACACCGTATATACGACGCTCCCCGTTTATCGTTAACGCGCGGAGAGAATTCGCACCAGGGTGTATTGGACTTACCTGTCCCGTCTAACCCGACGAGGTCCTTCACCCGGCTCGCTCGGATCCTTCGCGGAGGACGCAGCCGCGCAGCACTCCGATTCCGCGAGTCGCGACGTGACGCGCGCAGACACCACCAGACGCGAGACTACCTCTCCGCAAGGGCCGGCCACCCCGCGTGCGTCATGCGGAAGGACATCTGTTGCCCCTTTGCCCGCGACACCCCTCGGCGAGCGAGCGAGACGCTCTCGCCCCTCCTCCCGCTCCTCCGTCACTCGTTCTCTCTCGCACGTACGCGGGATCGTTACGCTCGCACCACGCACGCGTGATGTACAGGGTGGCGCGTGGAAATGCAGCCGGTGTCGATGAAAATTGCCACTGTCAAGGGTATACAACGCGTCATTATTACGGCAATACAATTCGCTCTGTGTGTCGATGATTTGTAACATATTTATCTTTCTAATATAATAAATTCAACTCGTATCATGATGACACGTGATTCTAATTGCAGAAACACCGACATTTATGTATACGTTCTTGTCTATTTTTTTTATATTACCGACACAAGAAAAACGGACAATATTCACCACAATATTTTTCATTTCTCATTCTTCTCTTCGCCTCATTTAATTGCTATGAATTTAAATAGAGTAAAATGTAAAAAATTAAAGGGAAAATTATATAAATCATTTTTTTTCTAACTTTAAAAATTCTTCCCTGAAGAAATTAAGATAAGGATTAAAATAATTTACTAAAATGCAGCTTTCAGCACTTTGGTCCAGTCTATTCGGGATTTAATCGATTGTTTGCTTTTTTTTTTTAAATTCATGTTTCGCTTGTTTCTTTGCGTGCAATTATCAATCTACGACATTTAAAATGCAAGAGGGGGCCCTTGGGGACTCGTTTACATTACTGCTTATTCATCTGTCTCTTTCCTCTTGCCCTTCCCTTATCCCCCGCTCTTTATCTTTTCTACCATGCACCGCGGTCCCTTTATTATTATCATCTTCTCTTTCTCTCTAATTATCCCCCTATTTCCTTGCCTCTCTCTTCTCGAGTTTCGCTCTTCGCCCTTTCATCCCCTTATCGCCCCAATTCACGCTCCCTTCCTCTCTCCGTCATTTTTTTCCTTCCCTTTTCGCTACGCTTCCCCTCTCTCTCCTCTCCACCGCGCAGTCCTTCCGATCTACCCTACGTACAGAGAAAAAAAAAAAGGGAAAAGAAAATCGTGGGGCTCGTCGTGAATTATAACCGACGCGGGGGATGCACAGGCGAGACGACGACGCTGGCGGCGTCGGCGTCGCGACGCCACCTAAAATGCTCGTGCGTCAATCGATCCGCGACTTTCGCCGAAGGAAGAAATTCTTGCCTCGGCGGCGCGGGGTCTTTATCAATCGCCAAAAGTTCATCCTCTACCCTCGATCTTGCTTCCTTTGAAGCCGCAAGATGAAACAGCTCAATTCTCATCTCGCAGACGCGAATCACGGCAATAACAGGATTTTTCTTTTCCTTTCTGTAGGTTGTTCGCAAAAATGACGTTGCGTATTGTTTATCCACGTTCCGAATGACTAAAATTCAATTTATGATAAATAAGTAGAACTTTTGTAAAACTGCTGAAAAATTAATAATCGTAAAATCGAAAGGACAAGTATTACGTTTGTAAAAGGGAATAACCGCCGTTATTAAAGCACACGTCTATCTTTTATGAATTTTAAAAATTATCCCTCACGTTAAAAATTTTCATTTTTTTTACATATGTAACGAAGTGATACAAACTATATTCTGGTTTTAAAAGATAACTCGAGAGATAACTTTACATAAGAACAATTTTATTCTCCAAAAGAATTCCATTTTGCTTCATAAATAATTAAATAACTCTGCATGTTTATTACGAAATGGAAACGAAGCATTAATGCTTCGTATCACTGTGTATCAACCTTTAACGTTTTAATAAATTATCTAGAGGACTAATACATTATTATTATTATTGATTAGAGTTTGGCGTCAAGTGGGGAAGAGGAAAGAAAGGAAAGGAAGAAAACATGTTTATTTAAACGTGTTGGAGAAATGTTGCTGTCTATAAGGGCCACTTACCCTGAGATAAGGTAAACTTTCCAAACATTGAGAGAAGTCTTAAGGCTCTTGGGTCCCTAAGGGCCAATTTCACCAACCACGCTTAGCTTAACCGACGGTTAAAGTTAGCACTAATAGTATTGGTCGGTTTTAAGTTAACCAATAGTAACCGTCGGTTAAGCTAACCGTGGTTGGTGAAGTTGGCACTAACCCGAGAAACTCCGCGGTGACGGTGGCGACGTACCGTTACCGTAAGGGCTTAACCAAAATGGCTACCTTATAACCTTAAGGGCCAATTTCACCAACCACAGTTAGCTTAACGAATGGTTAAAGTTAGCAAAATTGACCAATAGAAATAAATCCACCCTGCTTTCTAGAGAAAGGCATAAAACACAGCCATTCTGCTTAAGCCCTAAATAAGAACTATCTCCTCTCACTCTCTCCAATGGAGAATAAGCGAGCAATGTTGAGAATTGACACGTTGAGAATTATTGCGTAATATTTCCAAATAAAAAGATATTTGCTTAAAATAACACTACAGATCACTTC